AGGTGAGGGTAATTGGTATGAAGAAAAAGCAAGACAACTGGGTAATGACTGCTTCTCCTTTCCTGTTATTAGAGGTCACCGTTCTTCCACCCCCTCTGCCTTCACTTATTAGACTCTTTTCTTCACTATTTCCTGATAACAGTGGAATATGACTTATTCTCATCAGTAAGTGGCAGATGAAAGCATTATGCCAGCAGTAGAGTTAAAGTTTCGTCAGTGGTTTTGAATTGATACCTACTAGGTTTTATCACTTGAGAAATAAATGAAAAGGTCCATTTGATGTAGTGCGGTGTCCTTCAAAATACTGGTCATCATTATCAGTTTAGAGGGCTGAAAGGTCATCTAAAAGTTCAATGCAATGAATCCATAATGAAAATACCTGTGAATAGTGCTTAGTTCCTTAGCAACGCCTGGATGCAACTTCAGAAATACCACAGCCAGTGAGATTAGTGATATGAGAGAGTAATCCCAAAGGGACCACATGAGTTTGGACTTCAAATGGAGCCCCATGGCCTTTACTTATCACTTACTGTATCTAGTTTTGTGTCCTGGTTTTTGTAACATAAGACATAACCATTTATAGTTTATTTTATAATGGTATTCTTACAGTCATATGAAGAGGAGGGGGTGGTTTTCTCTTTTCAATTTTTAAGTTAGCATGGACAGTAATAGATTAAATTCTGGCTTATATATATATATATATATATATATATATATATATATATATATATAAATAAATATGTATATGTCATTCTTGCTTTTAGCAAATGTATAAGACTTTTGACTGACTTCTGTTTGCAACCATTTAGCAGCACAACTAATAGCGATTACTATTTGTAATATATTGTTTTAATTCCCTCTTAGTACCATAGTAAATCCCTGTAAGTTAAGAGGTTGTAAGGACATGTGTAGTACTATATAGATTTGTAGGTTGAAAGAAGACATGGATCTCACGAACAAAAATGGAAGTGTCGTCAGGACCATGATCCTTTGTGGAGGTCCATTTCCTTGCTTTTTTAGCATGAAAAGGCTGCTCATATTCCTTTACTGAGGGAATTCTTTTCCAAAGACAGCACAGCACCAGCAGCAGTGACAACAGTGGATTGGCCCTTTGGCAATAGTCACATCTCAGTGAAGTCAGAAAAATCCTTCTCTCTTAATGATTCATGTAATTTCACAGGATTTACCCAATAGTCTAAACTATTTCTATCTCGGATTCCTAGGCTTAGTCGCATTTGAAAATCCATTTGTGCTGTACTGTGAAATAGCATACTCACTGGTTCTGGGGATTTGTCTGAAGGCAGTTTTGAGTGACTATTTTTTTTTTTTACTTCAAGTTCTGCTTTCAAGTTAATTGTTTCCTTATAATAATAAGTCTGTGTATTTTTAAAGTTGAGTAAGAGAAAAAGCAGTAAATAAAATGTGTATGAATATGACACACACACACACAAAAGTGGCAGTAGTGGCAGTTGTATTGGGAAGAATCTCAGCTACACGAGGGCCCACTCTCTGCAGGTAGGAATCCAGAAGCCAGAGGGAGTGCCAGGCTGCAGTAGCTCCAGTTGTTCAGCTTCTTTTTCCTAAAGAAAAGGTTGACAAGTAGGCAGTCTCCAAAAGCCCCTAATTCTGTGTAAGTGGATGTTTATTTCATGAGTTTTCGTGTTGGGGCCAAGTACTGTGTCATTTGTCTCTAACATGACTGATTCATAACATCGGTTCTGTCTGAAGATGCTGTTGTTCCAGAATGTGGCTGTCATTGATAAGTCAGCCGGTGAATGGCTGTTTGCATAAATGCTGCTGCATTCCCCCCAGAGTTGGAATCCAGTTTTATTTTCCTATTTTTTTTGTTTGGTTGGTTGGTTGTTGGTCAAAATTAACAATAGTTTAGAAAACTAAATTCCAGGTCTTTTGCTAGACAAAGCACTCTACAAAGGAGCTGCAGCTCTGCCTTTCTAAAGGGACATTTTGAAATATTGAGTGCTTGTTGTCAGTTGTTCTCCATTTCCTGAATTCAGCCAGATAGGAAGTTCTATAAAGGTCGAGGGTGCTCAGCTGGTGAAATAACCCACACACTGCATCCATTCAGCACATAAAAGGAGTGCTAGATAATTCTTAACACATTCTTCAAGTGCATACCATCATTAAATTGATTTTTCTTAAGGAATAAGCATCTATACTTGAGATAATAAATTCTTTCAATTTTAATAATTTTAGTTGACCTTTTGTTCATTTAATGAAAACTACCTACTGAACAGGTTTTCTTTAATTCCATTCTTCAGTAAGAAAAATTGAAAATTTTCATGTTTCCTAAAATAACATATAATTTGTATTTGTGCCTGAACTGTAGAAAAGGCTCCATTTTCCTGATTACCTCATACATACCAAGAGTCTAATATCCACCCCACTGTCTCTTTCCCCCATCTTTTCCCCTTTTGCATTGCTACAATTACAGGTGGATGCTTGGTTTCGCCCAACAGCACAAGATAAATATGCTTGGAAGGTTTCCTAGCAACACATTGCTCTGGGAACCTGTTCTGTTTCCCTGAAGAAGATAAAGCCAAGCACCATAGAATCTCAGCCAGATGGGAAAGATTCACTTACTGATGGTGTTTAGTGCATTTGAAATAAGAATAATTATTTTATGTATATATTTTAAAAGTGTTAAATAAACCTTTTATTTTTTTTTTCCAAATTGAAATAAACCTCTTCACATAAACAGTAAGTTGATTTTTACTGCTTACAGCCCGGAGACACTCTCCTGTTTTCCCTTTGCTTAGGGCAGTCTCAGCACCAGGGACCGAGGCTTGATCTTGAGAGTCATTTTCAGTTTCTGAATGAATGATTAACACATAGAAAATTGAAAGAAAAGGAGAACACCATCAAAACAAAGAAAAGATGTTTTACTAGTTCAGATATTGTATCTTTCTCCTGTTTAGCTAAGGATCTGTGAAGTTACTCAGTTGGCAGGTGGCATTTTCCTTTCTGTTCAATCTAGTTGGTCACAGTGTGCTTGGGAAAGTCTCTGGACTTGGAGTAATCAAGAATTAGTGTTTCTCAGCCGGGCGTTGGTGGCGCACACCTTTAATCCCAGCACTTGGGAGGCAGAGGCAGGCGGATCTCTGTGAGTTCGAGACCAGCCTGGTCTACAAGAGCTAGTTCCAGGACAGGCTCCAAAACCACAGAGAAACCCTGTCTCGAAAAACCAAAAAAAAAAAAAAAAAAAAAAAGATTTAGTGTTTCTTTAATCAACAGTGACTTGCCGTTGAGTCACACTCTGGAGAATGTCCTCACTTCTTAATTGGCTAAAAGATATTTCCCCATTAACCAGGTGAAAATTCACATAATGTGGTTATTGAATGGATTACTCTGTGTACCAGATTTGGACCCTATTTTGTAAAAATTCCCAATCATGGTCAGCAGCAGATCACTGCAATTCATCACAGTGCTTTTGATGGTGAGTCCCAGGGTAATCAGAACAAAAGAACAATCCTGGTCTCTATATTGAACAAACTCTCTGGCCAGATTGCAGGGAATTGACGTTATCCTCACCCTAGAAAAATCTGAAGTACCTTCATGCAAGTAATTCTGTATTCTTTGGCTCTTCTATTTTCTGAACATCATGTAGTGAACTCAACAGGAAGCATCTTTGGAGGCTTAGGATGAATCATATCTTTTAATAAGTGTGTCGTGTGTTAAGGGTATAGACACATCTTCCTTGCCTTCACTGATTTCTCGAGAAGGCATACATAACATGTTTATGGACTCTAAAACTACCTAAAATAAAACTTCCTTCATTTCAAGTTCTTTCTTTGGGATCTAGAATTAAGAGAATTTCGATGTTTGAAAGAATTATATAGGACTTTGATGTAGGATGCAGGCACCACTAGAAAAAAAAGAAGTTATATAGTTTTTTTTATACAACAATGAAAATGGACTTAATCAACCACATAGAACAGAATAGATTCTAATGCATTAATTTTTACTGCATATTTTTATTAAAAACTTCTACAAACCAGGAAGTATTTTAGATACATTATATGTTTCATTATTTAAATCTCCTAGCAACCTTTACTTTACCAGGTAGAAATTATTTGCAATTTTTAAGTGAAGAAACTGTTCTGGACAACTAAGTGTCTAATTGTTGAAATATTACAATTTCTAAATAGTTGTCATTCAAATACTGGTTTCTTTACTGATAGATAGTTCTGTGGTCTATATACTGTATTTATTTCTTAGAATTCTAATATTGAATCATCATAACCTTTAGAGAAAAATGAACAACTATCTTTTTTATTTTGTTTTGTAACAGGCTCTCACTCTGTAGCCTGCCTAGCCTGGAACTTGTTGTGTAGACCAAGCCATCCTCAGAGTTCCACCTACCTCTGCCTCCTGAGTGTGCTGCCATGCCCATATTAACAGCTGTCTTTTGAAGATGACATAATCTTAGCAAGAAATAGATGATTTGTTTAATTTTTATTGTTTTATTCAGTATAATCATCTCACATCTTCAAGTTTCATTGTCAAACTTTACCACCTTTTTGTTTATGATATATTACACATTTTTTTGCTTTTATAAAGAACTTTTCACTTTTCAATATGATAAAATAAATTACACCTAACAGTAGCTAAAATTAATAATATTAAATATATTCACAAATTAGGTTGTGACATCAACAGTATAGTAAAACAGAGGCAACCCAGTTATTTTTGTAACATTGGAATAGAACCATACACGTTTGTTTGTCTATTGCCCATGGAACCATTGGTCCCCGAAGAGTTGAATGATTATAACATCAGTGATATGGCTTACAAAGCCTGCAAGGTATTCTATCTTCACCTTCACAGGAAAAGTCTACTAGACTCTATTCTAGAACCTGGTTTTTACTCCATTTCTAAGTTGGAAATACTGTTTTAGAATACCAGACACACAAGACGTTTTAAAAGTTTTTTTTTTACAATATAAGGTTTTTATCTAACATATTGTTCTCCAAACACTGCAGGTACCAACCAAAAAGCTGAAGAAATATGAAAAAGAGTATCAGGCAATGCGGGAGAATCAGCTACAACAGGAAGACCCAATGGATAGATACAAGGTATGGAGACACTTGGCACTTCCCAGGGCAAAAAGACCTTATTTTCCCTAATTCTGCAGCTGTGGTGAGTTCAGTTCCCTCTGCTCCACTCTGAACTATTCAGACAGTGGCATGCTAACTATGCCCATGTCTTCATTTTCCACTGACTTTTGAGTATTCCACCATAATATTTTTTTTCTCTCAGTTTGTATATTTTTAGGTAACTCCAGCTATTACATGTATACTGTGAATCTTCATGAGAAGCTGAAAGGGAAAAAGAAAGTGGCCTTCTTCTTTCAAAAATGAGAAAAATAAAACAGAAAATGCCAAAAAGTACTGTCTTAGCTGTGCATGATCACTTCCACAGAGACTCTTAACTGTGACTGTTCCAAGACTGATGGAAGGATATTGCAAACTTGTCCTTGTCTGTAGCAGATGTTAAAAATAAAAAACTCAGAAGGAAAAATAAAAACCACAAAGATGTATCAATCACAGCAATGTATTTGTTGCAATGTTTCATTTCCACAAACAAATCATAGGTGGCAATGACATTTCCATGCAGTTTTAGAATCAAAATTATTTCATTTGTATCTTCATTGGTTTGGGTATTTTAAAAAAAATTGTTTCATCACAAAGATAGATCTTTTCAGTCATAATTAGCAACATTGGTCACAGCATGCAATGTTGGGAAACAGTGATTTGCAATTTAATTTTTACCTTCTGAAATGTTACTGTCTTCCTTTAGCTGGTTTAATTTTTGAGACTCAAACAGATAGGTCTGAGTCCCTCCTTGCTACGTCAATATCCAACTGATGCCTAAATGCCCTTCCAAGGAAAGCATTATGGTGGCTTTCTTAATGGAACCATCCACACTGGGTTGACTTTTACTTCCATAACCTGAGTTGCCTCTGTGGTTGGAAAGGTATATGTTGGCAGCAGTCACACTGTGTATCTTGATTTTATTGTTGACTAGAACAACAAGGAACACTCACAGAGGAGCATGGCTCTGTGGGTTTCATAGTCAAACAGACTGCGGTTAAAATCCTGGCTCTCTGGAAAAGGCAACTGGATTCGAAACTATAGATGAGGACTTTGGTTCCTATGTTACTGGTCAGCATTTTGAGTCAGTCATTGAACCTCTCCTTGTCTGTAAAATACTTGGGCAAATGTAATTTTGTGGTGAATTACTTTGAGATTGAAGGCTGCTGTGTGTTAAGTACTCAGAACATAATTGGTGTTTAATAAATGGTTATTGGTTTTTAAACTCCATTAGCACAGGCATGACTAGAATAATATAACTTTGCTTGGACCTGCCTCTTCAGTCATCCAATGACCATCTTCATATTTTGTATAACTATTACTACCCTATAGTCTTATCATCATCAGTCAGTATATTATTTTCATTCCTCTAGAACTGGCTTGAGAAATGAAAATAATCCCACACATATGGTTATGATAGATAACTATTACCAGATTATATGCTTATAGAGAAGGTTTGATGACTATCCACTATTATCTTCTCAGTAAATTTCAGTTTTAATGCCAGACCTATGATACAAAAAGGCATAAATGGACTCATGATGAACTGTTAAAGATCAAATCATTCTAATTTTTAGAATACTACCGCCATTATGAATAAAGTACTTTCAGATAAAAGAGAAAAAAATGATAGTCCAAGCTTTCATAATTACACAGGCAAAAACTGAGCACAATTGCATGCACCTATGTAGCTCTCTGTGATGGGATAGAGGATCATTTAGGTCCAGGTGATTGAAATTAGCAGCATAATGAGATCCCATCTAAAAACACAAAACCACAGCAGATGCCTCACAGAGCCCAAAGAGACTATAAAACAACTGAACTGTAACTATCTTACATCCTTTTTGTGTCAAAGCTGGCATGTATAAATATATCACTTATAAACTGTAAGGTTATTTGTACAGTTTTTATTGATATCAAATTAAACTTTTAAAAATAGGTATTTTAGGTTCAAATATTGTGGGGTTTGATTTTTGTTTGTTTGGTTGATTTTATTTTGACAGAGTCTTTCTTGTTCTGTAGTCCAAGCTGATCTTCATTTGGGCCTGTGCCACCACTCCCATCCCACTGTAGCAATTAATTGTACATGTCAGACACCCTCTATCACTATTTCTTTTTTATGATTATAATGGCTTTCTAGTATGTTATGTAAAAAATGTTTCTATACCTTTTTTTAAAAAATGTGTAGATATCAGTCCCAATGATTTACTTGACAAAACTATAATCAAGTTATAATTACATTTCAAGCTAGTAATTGCCAGTGTTAGCTCTAGCTATCAACAGATTTGATCCTTCAGGTACAGAAAAATCTGGTTTAAGACATAAATTAAGATTAACTGGAGAGATGGACTCTTCAGGTAAAGACACCTGTTTTCAAACCTGATGGCCTGAATTCAATTTCCTGACCCACGAGTGGAGGAGAAAACTGACTCCCAAAAGTTTTATGTGATGTTGAGAACTGAACTTAGAACCCAGGAGTTCTTGCACACTAGGCAAGCATTCTACCAACTGAGTTACATCCCCAGTATACCCACCATTTCTTCTGTGAGACACAAGTCACTTGTGTCAAAATATAGTACTTATTTAGAAGTCATACTTGTGCAAAGGAGATCTTTTGTCAAATTTTGTGCTAATTTGTTGAACAATAGAAATGGTGCCTTTTTAGTGTTTGCTCATTAATTTCTAGATACAGTATGTGGCGTTTCTATCCATATATACACACACATAGAGTAATAAGCACAAACATACATACTGTCTAATCTGGCATCAAATTTGTATTGAGACCCAGGGAACCCTCAAACAATGCTTAAAGCCTTTAGTGGTGTCTTTCTGTTTAACTCCATAAGACTACAAAATAGAAAGATTTTTCTGGAGGATAAAAATACAGTATTAATTCTGAACCTCTTTTTTTTTCCTCCTTTTTTTTAAAATTTATTTATTTATTTATTAAAGATTTCTTTTTAATTTTTTTTTATTGAGAATAGGAAAAAAAGTTTCCGCCTCCTCCCAGCCTCCCATTTCCCTCCCCTTTCCCCCACTCTTCTCCCCCTCCCCCCACACCTCTCCCCCTCCCTCTCCAATCCAAAGAGCAGTCAGGGTTCCCTGCCCTGTGGAAAGTCCAAGGTCCTCCCCCCTCCGTCCATGTCTAGGAAGGTGAACATCCAAACTGGCTAGGCTCCCACCAAGCCGGAACATGAAGTAGGATCAAAACCCCTTGCCATTGACCTTGGCTTCTCATCAGTCCTCATTGTTCGCCATGATCAGAGAGTCCGGTTTTATCCCATGCTTTTTCAGTCACAGTCCAGCTGGCCTTGGTGAGCTCCCAATAGATCAGCCCCACTGTCTCAGTGGGTGGGTGCATCCCCCGTGATCCTGACATCCTTGCTCGTATTCTCCCTCCATCTGCTCCTCATTGGGACCTTGGGAGCTCAGTCCAGTGCTCCAGTGTGGGTCTCTGTCTCTATCTCCATCCATCACCAGATGAAGGCAAAATTCAACATCCCTTTATGATAAAAGTCTTGGAGAGACTAGGGATACAAGGGTCATACCTAAATATAATAAAAGCTATATACAGCAAGCCGACAGCTAACATCAAATTAAACGGAGAGAAACTCAAAGCCATCCCACTAAACTCAGGAACACGACAAGGCTGCCCACTCTCGCCATACCTCTTTATTAAAGATTTCTGTCTCTTCCCCTCCACCACCTCCCATTTCCCTCCCCCTCCCCCGATCAAGTCCCCCTCCTTTTTCCTCCTTCTTAACCTGGTCAAATATATATGATATTGTTTTATTTATCTATTCTGGCCTTTTAAGTTATAATTTGATTGAATTCAAACGTGAGCTATAGATGTGGCTAGTGATGTCCCCAGAAAATATATTTTTATGTATAGGTATATCTGTTTTAGAACATTTTAAAAATTAATAAACAAAGCCACCAAAGCAGATAAGAATGTTAGAAATCAAAATTCTTTTTCCTACACGTAGGACATGGTTGCTTTCATTGTGGGGAAAGAATTTCAGTAATACAGTCAATAGGTGAAGAAGCTTCTAGAGAATTGCAGCTGTCATCTAATTTAAAGAAAGATACACTCCTTTTCTCATTTAATTAAGACCTGCTGATAGTAATGTGGGTCAGGTCTTTAAAAACACAAGTAATTAATTAAATTCAGTGAACTTCCCAAATCGTAGTAAAAACTGCCTGTTCTGTAAGGGAAGGTCCTGGGAAGAATGTGTACTGTTTAAACTGTTGGGCCTAAGACATGCATAGTATCATAAATATATAACTTAGACTTTAAATATATAGTCATGTTCAGTATAGTTAAATGCAGAATGTTTAACTGCCTTCATGAGCTTAGTTAGGTATAGTAAATTTTTTAAAGTCAAAATGTAATTCAAGCAGCATAGATAATGGAGAAGGGCTTACCTAACGTGTGGATGCGCCTGGATTTGATCCTCAGCACAACCAAACCATCACAAAGCTGAATAAAATATAATCCAAATAGAGATGAATTTTTTTTAACTTTTTGATGACTCTATTGCTTGTTATTTCCTATTACTCAATGGTTTCTTACATATTTATCTTTGCAGTAACATCCATCATTTCTCTCAAAAACAGCACAGATTTTTAGCTATTTTTTATATTCTTTTTTATTTATTATTTATGTCTTTCCCATCATGCATTATAGATTGTGGGTTTTGGGGGGATTTTTTGTTTGTTTTGCGAGACAGGGTTTATTTTTCTTTAATTTGTATTTATTTATATTTTATGTATGAGTGCTTTGCATATACACCTGCAGGCCAGAAGAGGGCATCAGATCCTATTCTAGATGGCTGTGAGCACCACCTGGTTGCTGGGAACTGAACTCAGGACCTCTGGAAGAGCAACTAGTGCTCGTAACCACTGAGCCACCTCTCCAGCCCCAGAGATGATTCTTCTATTGAGTGCTGTAAATCATACTAAGTTTTTCTTCCCTACCTGCA